AGTTTAACAGGTTTCTTAAAAATCTATTTCGTTATTCCATTAATCTGAGCAGGTCAGGACAGATGGCAATGTTTTTATTTTACAGCGAGAAAAACTGAACACCTGCTAAGGGCTACCCCCTGGGTGCGCACAGCCTGGTTAGGAACCGAGCTGGGTTAGAGCCTGGTTCTGTCTGGCCTCTTACCAGTTTGGGGTTGATGGACCCTTGGCTTGGAACACAGGTGCCAAACTGGCAGCCTGCTGGTCACATGCGGCCTGTGGACATGCTTTGGTCCACACAAGTGTTTTTTTTTTTTTTAATGTGCATAGGTTGCCAACACTTAAAAAATTAGGAGATTTCCCACATAAATCCCAATTACTGGCTTAAAAATCTAAGCATCCAGCAACCCTGGGCTTGTATCTCCACATGGACGACAACTGACATGTGCCCTCTTCCCCGGGGTCCCCGCCCTCCCCATTGTCTGAACGCCCATTAGTCTGCAACTCCTGCTTAGAGAAAGAGTCCTGTCAGTGAGGTCTCCGGGCAAGGTCTCCACCCTATTCTTGGCTGCGTCTGTGGCGCTTGGCTTGGTGCTTGATGGCATCGCTGTTCAGGGGTGGAATAGAACCACATGCTGCTGGGGCAGGCCTGGCTGGGCCTGCAGAGAACGCCGTCTGCAGTCGTCAATAAACCTGAGGCTTTGGCAGGGACCTGGGGCCAGTTCGTGCCTTGGCAGTGGGCCTCGTGCTCAAGTCTGCCTTGGGGTGGGAAGGAGGGAGGTTGAAACCAATGCCTCTCTGCTCCCCAGGACAAAGGGCATGATGGGGTCGAGCAGCTGGTCAGCTTGAACAGCAACCGACTGAGAACCGTCCAGCTCAATGTCTGCAGCAGCAAGGAGGTGGACAAAGTGGTAGAGCTTGTCCACTTGAGCCTGAAGGACCCTGAGAAAGATAGGGGACCCCTTGGGGCAGCAGGGATGGAGAATGGGGCTTGTTCGAAGGGGCCCTTCCTGAACACCACCCTCCATTTGCTGGCATCCTGCTACAAGCCTCCTTCGTTTATTGCTTAAACTCTTCCTCCTGCACAGGAGGAGGAAGGGAATTAAATCAAACACACTGGTGCCATAGGGCATGTAAAGTACAGCCAGGAGGTGATTTGAGGATCTGTAGGAGTAAAGGAGGGATATGCACTGGTCAGGTCAGTTCAGCCAACGCTCACGGAAATGCCCACTCTGGGCCACGTGCTGGGCTGAGTGCTGGGGACACAAAGATGGGCAAGGCACAGTCTGTCCCTGCTGACTTCATAGTTCACTGGGGGGACTGATTTCAACACTAGACAGCAGTGCACTGAGAGAGGCAGAGCAGCACAGGAAAGAGGCGTTAGTCTGGTCTTGGGGAGCACCGTGGGAACGGGCCAGTTAGGGCAGACTGTGGCAGAGAGCAGGAGGGCCATTCCAGGAGGAGGGGAGAGGCACAGGGTATGCTGTGGGATGACAGGCCATGGGTATCAGGAGTCAAGTCTGGCAGAGGCGGTGGCAGCAAACGAGGCTGGGGAGGGAGGTTGTCCAGGCCCTTGGGTGCCAAGCAGGGGAGCACGGCTGCCTTCCTGAGGGCACTGGGGAGCCCTGAAGGGGCCGTCCTGAGGGGAATGGCCTGGTCCGACTTGCGAAGCTCACTCTGAGCAGTGCAGTAGCAATGGGGAAGGTAGTCTAAAGGGGGATTTAAGTGTGGGTTTGAGAGTCCTGAACTAGGGTGTTGGGTGTTGGGAAAGGAGGGATCAGATTCGAGGAGTATTGAGAAGGCAAAGCTGGCTGGACTTGGTGGCTTGGATGCGGGGACAAGGGGAGGTGAGAGGCCCCTATCCTGGACCTGGTACCCTTCAGTGCAGGAGCAGATTGAGGGCTGGGAAGATGCTGAGGTGCCCACCCTGGGGGAGCGTGTGGGCTGAGGTCAGGTGCTCATGGTGGGAGGTGAAGCTGGAGTCGGGGGGATGCAGGGAGGGAGTCCTGGGGACTGTGAACATCTGGGGGCCAGAGGAAGGGAGGGAACAGTTGTCAGAGAGGTTGGACACAAGGCCCCAGAAGCTAAAAGAACAGAAAGTTTGGGGGGCCCTTAGCCAACAGGGCCAAATGCTGCAGAAAGTTCCTGTAGTATAAGGACTCAAGTGTCCTTCCAGTTCAGCCATGTGGAGGACCTTGGGGGAGAGACTCTGTTGTACAACCGTGGGGGCACCATTCCTGTGGAATGCAACAGTGATGGACAGAGCTCCCTGGAGCTGGGCAGTGCAGCAGCATCCGTGAAGAAGCGAGTCTATGAAATTTACTTTTGAGCTCCCTGACGGCCTAGGCAGAAAGGGTATGCCTCATTGAGCTCTGCTTCCCCACAGAGTGGGGTGGGAGCAGCTCTGCCGAGTGGTGACTTTGCTAGGTAGGGTGTGACTGGACCCTGTGCTAGGCACCCTGTGCTGAGCGAGTATCAGGGTGACATGCTGTCATCCCTGAGCAGCTGCCTCGGAAGCTGTGCCGAGTGGCTATTGGTGGCGCTGTTGCTCAGCGGTCAGCCTGTCACTGATGTGCCACCTCAGCCCAGTGCTGCCCTCACCCCCACCACAGGCCATTCCCAGGCCCCTCTATTCTCCGAAGAGAGGCCTGTGAGTCTGACCTCGCTGCGCATCTGTTTAATAATTAACAGGCAGAGCCAGCGCTCCTGCCCCACTAAGAGAAGGCAGGCTGGGTCCCACTGGGATGATTACCAGCTCGGAATGTACAGCCTGCTTCGCGACTCTGGGTGCTACATCCTCCTCCGCCGCCTTCCCTGGGCAGCTGGGATATTGCCTTCATAAACTATTAGGCTGGAAAGCAGCTGCATCAGCGCCATAAAGCCACTTCATTACAGCCTGTGGGTTTGTGGTAATTTAAAATGCCCATGGAAAGGCATCACCGGGGACCTGAGCACAGAATGGGGCTGCTCAGGGCCCTTGTCCTCTGTCCCCTGCCCCTGGGGCGGGACCACCTCCATTCTCTGCATTGGACTGGCCAGTTATCCTAACCGCAGGCAGCTGGGCTCCGGGCCACTCACCCCCGACCCCCACCCTGGGATCGGAGCTCAAACCCCAGCACCAACCCTGGCACGCAAACCTCTCCCTGCTGCTTTTTCCACATGACACATTGGGGGAGGGTTTGATAAACCACTCACCACGACCTTACTTAATCAATACTGCATTTTTTGGAAAAAGAATTTGAAGATTTTTAGGTCTGAAAAAAATAAATCTGTAAGATATATGGCTGTGTGCCCCCCTTCTTCCCCTCCTGTGTCTCCCTCCCTCCTTCCCTCACCCTTCCCCCCTCTCTTCCCCTCCTCCTCTCCTCCTCTCTCCCTCCCCTCTGCCTCTACCCACCCCACACCGCTTTGGGCTGTGGCTGTCTTTTTCCTGGTAATGCAGCTGGAATTCCCCTTCTCAGGCAATGCTGGCTTTGAACTCCAGGTGGCGCCCTCCCAGGGCTTTCAGACCAGCAAAGGCTGCCTCTGATTCACCCAGACAGGAACCTTTCGGGAGAGGCGTCGCCTTCCCCATCCCCCCACCACGGGAGCACATGGTGACTTTGATGCCCTTCACCCCGGCTTTGTGGAACAGTTGCTGCCCAAGCCCAGGGAGCTAGCTATGGGGGGCGAGATGAAGGGATTGTCTGACTGGCGCACCACAGCCATCTGCCACCAGCCCCTCCCCGCCAGCAGGACTCCGAGGGACTAGACATCTGGAGCCTGCGACCGGCCCTCCCCACCCTCGCCCCAAGGGAAAGCTGAGCGAGTGGGCCCCAGGCTGGTATGGCCGGATCTTGGCACTGTCACCTACCAGTCAGGCAGTAAACACTGAGTACCTGCTGCATACGTGATAGTGCGCCGAGCGCCAGCAGGGTATGACCTAGCAGGAGAAGTTTGTGGTCGGATGCCAGTCAAGAGAAAGTCAGTGGCTTCGGGACAGGACCTCTGAGGAGCAGTGATAGCACCGGGGTGTTACGCATGGACAGGGAAGACTCTACATCTGGGTCATCTTCGGTCTGGGAGGGAGAAGACTAGGCTTCACCTCTTAATAAAAGCCTGGCCTTGGGCTTGAACCTTCACCTGTGTGGGCCTCAGCTTGCCCATCTGTGAAGTGGGGAAAGTGCTCTGCGAGCCGTCCCGTGCTCACACCTAGATCCGACCACTGTGGGAGCATGGCTAGAATCTCAGCACAAGCTGCTCTCAGGCTGGGGGGTGTAGGGGGCAGGAGGGGCCATGATGATGAGGGTGGCAGGCTGTTCTCACTCAGGAAGGGCAGAGTACATGAGAGGGAGTGGGAGCGAAGCCTGGAAAAGGCCCTGTACCATGCTACAGGATGGGGACCCTGGGAGCAGGAAGTGACTGGGGAGAGGAAGGTGAGTGGCTGAGGGGGTGCGGTGAGGATGGAGGTGGAAGAGAGACCTAGACAGGGAGACCTGGGAGGAGGCTTCTCTGATGGTACAGGAGAGAGGTAACAGGGCCCGAGCCGATGCAGGCGGAAGCAGGAAGGAAGAATCCATTCTAATGACCCAGCAAAGAAAACCGACAACAGCAGGGCTAAGTGTGAGGGCTTTGTCCTCAGACGGAGCTGGACCCAAATCCCCTCCACTCCACCTGTTCACTGGCTGGCACTGAGCAAGGTGCTTAACCTCTCCCAGCCTCAGGTGCCTCAACCAGATACGGGACGATTTAGTCTCTACTCCATAGTTGGTTGTGAGGATCAGATGAGTTAATGGATGCAAAGTGCTTAGTTTGGGGCCTGGCAGCTGTCACCTCAATCTTTGACAGTAACAGTAACAGTACTTGGTGACTCCTTTGGTGGGGAGGAGTGAAGGGGCTGCAGGAGCCAAAAACGAATGTAAAATTAACACAGAGGAGGAGCAGGCTGGGGCAGCCTGGGAACTTGGGGTGTTGGTTGTGGTTAGGGTGAGTTGGGGACCTGTGGGACATTCAGGTGGAAGTGAGATGGGAGGAGACTAGAGTTAGGAGAGAGCCGTGACTCCTGCGGGGGACAGGGGAGCCATCGACGTGGATGTGATGCAGGAAAACACCTGTCACCCAGGCCAGCAGGAACGTTATTGAGTTCTCCAGAGAGTGATGGGGTCCACAAGCTATTACTACTTGTCAGGTCGGCAAAGCTCTAATCCAGAAGCAGTGTGTTTTCCTAGGCCACATTTAATTTGACTTTTTTGGGGTAGTAGTGTCAGATGTCATTGTTTTATTTTTGGGTGGAAAAAGGACTATATGCATTTTAGGGCATGAGATACGGTCCCTTATGAATCAAACACAAAACAGCTGGAAAATTCCAGGAACATGAAGAAGACGAAGACATCTATGGGGTGAGTGTAATTCAGGAGAAGCAGGTCTAGGACACTGGGGACACCTGATTGGGGGGGCAAGGGGCAGGTGGAAGAAAGCTATCAGGGAGGGTGCAGGAGGTGTTGGGTGTCATTGACACCCTGGGAGGAGCGAGCATGACGAGCATTAGTAGCACCATATCATAGGCAGGCCAAGGAGTGTGAAGCCTGAGGTGGGGGCCTGGCACGTGTACCCTGGAGACCCCAGAGCATGCAGGGTCCGGAGAGCCAGCATGGCGAGGTGGGGAGATGGGGAGTGCAGGCTGTTCTCAGAAGCCTGGCGCGGAGGGGAGGAGAGCAGGTAGTATGGTTACAGAAGCTTCTTTAGGCTACGATAGGCTATGGAGATATGGTACTTGTATATATTCATTCACCTAATATCCATTTATTGAGCACCTAATGTGTATAGCATTGAAGGAAAAGAGCCAGGGGCAAGGGAAAAGTTGAAGTTGTGTAAAAGAGAGAAGAATCAGTGGCTTAAGGCTTCAAAGATGGTGGGTGAGGCGTCAGCCATGACAGGTGGGGAGAGGCCTCTTGTGCTTCCAGGGAAGAGAAGGGGCTGAGGCCCAGGGGAGTCTGTAGGGAGAGGGCGGGAGCTGGGGGATGTCCTGGATCACTGATTGTGTCATTAGTGTCCTCAGTGAGGTCACGGGTGAGACCTGAGAGAGCAGTGGGGAGGCACCCACATGGCCTCGGTGGGGAGTAGGAGTGAGCTGGTCACGGACACTTTGTTAACCAGCAATTTCCTTTAGTTAATAAATGTCCTTAGTTCTCCATAATTGAAGGAGAAGGCAGCAGAGGTCAGTTGATGGAGCTTTAATTTGGGTAACACGGAAGGAGAGCAGCTAGAGACCAATTACTCTGTCATTTACACAAACTCATTTCCATGATTAACTCGGGAACTGAAGCGGGGCCGGGTTCCCACAGTCAGTCCTCGGCCCCGGGAGGGGAGCTCCGCTCTGAGGCTGTGCCCTAGGAAGGAGCACTGGCTTTCGGCCACAGGAGACTAAAGCCTGAGGGTTTCCACAGCAAAGAGGCAGGACCCTGCTCTGTCCTGAGGCTCCGGCCCACCCAGCTCTTGCACCCTAAAAAACTGAACTCAGGGAGGGCCCTGCAGAGCAACGCTGCATCCTCACTGCCACTCTCAGCTCTGCCTCTGACTTACTGGGTAAACTTAAGCCTGTCCTTTTCCCTCAGGGCCTCAGTTTCCCCAGCTATGAGATTAGTTAATAGACTACGTGAACTCCAGGGAACCTTCCAGCACCAGCGTTCTCTGAGTCTACAAAAGCCAGCCGTCCTTACTTAGCTAGCCTCGCAGGGAACAGTCAACCCAGTGTACTGTGAGCACGTGCATTTCCTCCGCCTGTGCGCAGCCCTGTGGGACCACACGTGTGATGACCGGCAAGCGGTGCCGTGGCTCAGAGGAGGGAGAGGAGAGAGCAGAGTGGTTGTTAGGAGGGTCTCCGGATGGAGCAGGACTGGGCCTGCCTGTGATCCAGGCTTGGCTGAACCTCTAATGACGTGTATCTGAGCAGCTTGGTCCCCTCTCCAGTCCTGCAGGGGGAGCTTGGCCTGGAAGACCCCTGAGGTTTCCGTGGCTTCTGCAAGGGAGGAGGATGTAAGCGAAAGCTCAGAGGCTGAAGCGAGTACACAGGTGCAGGTGTGGGGATGAGCTGGGTGCATGGAGTGGAAGTGGGAGTTTGAGGTGATGTAGGACTCGAAGCAGGGGGTCCTGGCGGGGCTGGGTGATGATGGGCCCAGAGAACCAAGTCAGGCAGATGGGACATGAGGACTGGACATTCTGGACTTAAAGGAGGGCCGCAGCCAGCACCTTAGGCCTCTCTATCTCCTGTCATTCTTGAGTGACTCCAGAAAGTTTCCTGAGAGCCTCAGGCAAGAGGCTGGGCAGTCACAGGGACAAGGGACAACAGCGGGGAGGAGAGTGGGCTGCAGGCTGATGGGTGGTGTCTGAAGCTGAGCCACCTGGTGACCACAGGTCTGTCCTCTCCTGTCCAGGGATGTGGGGCCTGGTGTGGGCATCTCGACATTCGGGGAGGTGGAGTTCACCAGCACAGAGACATACAAGGAGGTGGCAAAAGTGAACCTCTGGGGCACGGTGCGGATGATGAAATCCTTTCTCCCCCCTCATCCGAAGGGCCAAAGGTGAGTGGAGAAGGGAGCTGCTACTTGCCCCGGATCTGCTCCCCCTGTTCATCTTGGCTCCAAATGGAAATACCTCTCCCAGCAGATCCAACACCCACAACCCAGCAAGGGTGAGCTCATGAGTCCCGGGGGCCATGCTGGGCTGGGGTGAAGGTGGGCAGAGGGGCCATGGCCAGGTGGGAAGGGGCATGAGGCTTTCAGGAATAGGTCAGCCATGTATGCACAAACGGCTTCAACATTATAGCAGTGATCCACTCTGGGCACCTAACCTAGGGAAACAATCACCCTTTGCACAAAGCTGTATGTACACATCATGGTATCAGTAGGGTGTGGTTAAGTATAATTTGGCATAGCCATTCTATGGGTTATTATACTGTAGTTAAAAAAATGAGACAATTATGGTATTAAGAATTAATAGTAATAGTCAAGACTAGAAATTTGGAAAACAGACAAAACACCCAAACCATGTTAGGTGGCCAAATGTAAGCAAACCACCTTGGAAGTCACTGACTCTGATTTTCTCCCCAGATTAGTAAAAAATCGTGGCAAAAAGGGCAAGATCTGTAGATCTATCCCGAAGTCCTGACAACAACAGGAATGGCAGAATGCTGCTGTGGGGTTTTAGAAGAGAACCCCAACCCTTCAGTGACTTCAGACTTAGGAGGTTTCTGAAAGGCACCTCCCACAGTGCGCAGGATGGGCTGTGCTTCCTTCCTGGGTGCACACCGTGGGCAAGCTCATCCCAGGTCTGCTGGGGCTTACCCAGCGGGCTGAATGTAATCTGCCTCCAACCCCATTGCCCCCAGGCCTGGGATAAGCTGTGGTGAGCCCCTAACACCCCCAGGCTGGGCTGTAGCAGAGAGCCTTTTGGGGTCACCACTCCCTTCCAGTGCTTGAGACTCTACCTTCACATCCTAGCCCTGAAGTCAGGTTCAGAACCCTGGCTCCTGCCACCCCAGGATGCTTCTGTTTGCTGTCTTGAGCAGCACCCAGGGTGGAACCGAGCTGGGGAATGGAGCCTAACAGCACAGGTTCTGTCCTCTTTCAGGATTGCCTTATGGGCCTCTCTGGCAACTGCAGCCCACGGGTGCCCCCTCCTCTGCACTGCCACCTCCATCCCTAGCCTTGCCATCAGTGATGGACACTGGACTTAGTGTGCTACTTATCTGCACATCTTACTAGCTGAGCTGAATTTTAAGCGTGAGGGTAAGGAGGAGGTTTTAGATTATATTTCTCCCTGACCGGCATCAGAACTTGCCTATGGTGAACACTCAGATCCACACAGACACAGCTGTCTCACCTCCCACATTCTCCCACTGCATTTTCATCCCAAATTACTATCACTGGGCAGGGCTTTGTCTGGTTTTTGAGTTAATTGAATGTTGCCCATTATTTTGCGCCCTGCTGGCATGCAGGCCTGCTTCTCACTCATTGCTCCTCCTCTGTCCTGCCTGGCACAGCTGGGCACCTGGGGAAGATGCTGATGTGTGGGCCTAAGCTGGCCTTGCTACCGCCTGAGAAGGCTCCCAACCCTGGGTGGCTCAGCAGTGGTCCCAGCCAGCCCTCTGCCACACAGAGCAGTGCCACCTGAGCAGGTGTTTGCTGTCTCCCTCTGCAGGCCGTGTCGTCAACATCAGCAGCATGCTGGGCCGCATGGCCAACCCCGCCCGCTCCCTGTACTGCATCACCAAATTTGGGGTAGAGGCTTTCTCTGACTGCCTGCGCTACGAGATGCACCCGTTGGGTGTGAAGGTCAGTGTGGTGGAGCCCAGCAACTTCATTGCTGCCACCAGCCTCTACAGCCCTGAGAGCATCCAGGCCATTGCCAAGAAGATGTGGGATGGGCTGCCTGAAGTCGTGCGCAAGGACTACGGCAAGAAGTACTTTGATGAGAAGATTGCCAAGATGGAGACCTACTGCAACAGTGGCTCCACGGACACGTCCCCCATCATTAATGCCGTCACACATGCCCTGACCACCGCCTCCCCCTACACCCGCTACCACCCCATGGCTACTACTGGTGGCTGCGAATGCAGATCATGACCCACTTGCCTGGAGCAATCTCCAACATGATCTACATACACTGGCAGTTTCACCGGCCGCTGTGGGAGCCCTGGTGAGAGGGAGGGAGGAAGAGGGAAGAGCTCACCATATGAAGTCCACTTGATTCTTCACTTGTGCGTTATCGCTGTCCCAAGGGAACCCATTGCTAGTTTTAGCATTAACCAGAGGGAATAACCCTGCCTGACCTATTTGCCTTCACAAACAGGGTGTATAGCAGCAGGCAGGGGCCCCTGAACCTCAGGGCAAACATGGTGTATCCATCTCTCTGGAAATGATTTCATACAAAGATTTTGGGAAAACATCTTTATATTAAAAACAGATTTATTATAGAATAGAATCCAGATTCCTTTACATCCTTAAGCCAAAATATCACTTCAAAAATTTTATCTCATTTGATCCTTAAGCCAGCGTCATGAGTAAAAAGAACAGACTTTTTTTTCTTTTTTACATGAAGAATCTGCAGCTCAAAGAGGATACATAAAATAAACCTTTTATTGCTTATAAATGGTCCAAGTCGTGTGTTCCTGTCACTGCTGTCGAAACACTTCACATGTTGCCTTCCAGGGCTGTTTGGGATCCATTTATCCAAGAATCCTCTGCCTAACTGTGTCCTTGCCTGAGCCACACATACCAGTGCCCCTGTGTACCTCTGCGCGTCCATGGTGCTGGGTGACTGGTCTGCCAGCTGTATGGGGGGGTGTGGGAATCATTCTGGAGATTTCCATTTGAGATTTCTCCAACCTCTTTTAGGACTTAGAAAAGACGTGTGCGGAGGTGATCCTTGACTAAGAGGACAGGTTATTTATGGTTTGGATCTGCCTGGTTTTGCCTGGGGTAGGGCCCATGTTGATGGGTCAGCCTTGTAGGAACAGTGGTGCTAAGGCTGGGCACGGTGGCATCTTTCCCCCCAGGGGTGGGTCTGGGTTCCTTATTTGTCTTACAAGGTGCTTACACTCTCACACACACACACACACACACACACACACACACACACACACCCCTGGTCTGGAGGCTCAGGGTGGCCTTCGCTGATGGCTTGCCGTCCTGCCGTGAGTCTACTGACAGGCAGAGTCTGCGTTATCACTTCTTGGGCTTGGATTTGAAGTCTGCCATCCCTGCAACTGCCCAGGGCCTGGATGTTTGGATCAGAGCCAGGCACCACCATCCTTGAGGTGACTACAGGCGCCTAGGACAGGGTCCCAAGTGCCAGCCTTGCAAAGCAAACCAGTGTTTCCGCCGCTCCCTGGAGCGCCAGGCCTGCCGCTAGAGGGCGCCCCGCCTCTTCTGCAGCCGGAGCTGGCGTTGGGGGCCCCAGACTCGGGAGCTTCCAACCAAGCCTGAGGTCTCAAAGGGTTCGGAATTCCCACCTCGGAAACTGCCTGGGAACAAAGAAGCAAACCCCTTAGAAACAGCGTTCCCACTATTCTAGCGGCTGCCTGGCTTGAACCCGGAGACTGCTGCCAGGAGAAGGTAGAAGAACCCGGGCAGCTGGAACCGACCTCGGCGCTCAGGCAGTGCCGAGGAAGGGGGTCTTACGATGAGCAAATTCAGCTTGCCTTTCAGGCTTTTTTCCCCTCAGTCTCAAACAGGGAAGCCCAGTCCCAGCTCCCGGCCTGCAGGGTGAGACCAAGAAGGCCTGCAGGGAGGGAGGGAAGGCAGGGCTGAGACTCCCCAAGAGCCAGGACAGGGACACTCAGCGTTGTGTTTGCATAGCAGTAAGATTCTTTCCTACCACAGAGCCTGCCTCTAGCAGGACCCTTTCAGAGTCGCATTTTTACATCTTGGGAGAACTTGCTTTCATGCTTCACTTTATAAAAGGAAAATGGATGTAGCACTTGGAGTTACACTGCGTACACAGCCCTGCCTGGGAGCTGGAGGGAAGGGATATGGCCACACGCCCTGGGTCCCCATCAGCAGTAACCTGAACACTGGAGAAGCTGTACATGCGTCTGTTGGAGTCTTCGACAGGAGGACAGAACTGTCCTGATGTTTAATTTTCATCACAGTGATTGAAAGGGCACCTTCCCTCCAAATAATCTCAGTGCTAACTAAAACCTCACATTTACCATTCACTATCTGACAGCTTAGAGTCCACTTGGGTACAGGAGCTATTTTTGATCTTTACAAGAGGTAAGTGAAGTGGACAAAACAGAGATTGTTGTTTCCATTTTATAGACAACATAACTGAGACCCAAAGAGGGAAGTGAGTCACAGTGAATCCGGGCAGAACCAGGACCAGAGCAGGTCTCCTGAGTGGTAGTAGTCACTGTCACATTATGCTGTGGCTCACAACAGCCCTAGAAGCTAATCCAGTTGGGGTCACCGGGCACCTAGACCCTTACTGCTCATCTGCAGGCAGAGAACTGCCCCTACTTGTTGGGGTGGGGTGTAGGGAGGAGGCCTCCGTCTGTGCGGACCCGTAGTCTCGTGCCTCCGGCCAACACACACCCCTCCCTTGATAGCTGGAGGCAGGGGAGGACTTTTTCGCAAGATGCTCCTGGTGGTGCCTTGTCACTGAGCACACGCTGCGCTTAACATTCCACCTGGGGCCAAAAGGCTGCATGAGCAGGTGACAGGCCGGGCTGCCTGGCCTGTCACAAGCTGCTAGGGCAACACCCCTGCCACCCATGTCAGGGAGTCTGGCAAAGACTCCCCACTTGTGAGGTCTGTTCACTTTGCGTATTTCAAACAGGGCCGGGCTCTGCAAATCTGTGCGAGCCCTTGTGGTGCAGGTGCCAACGTGAGCGGGCAGAGGCTCCCCTGGCACGGGTGGCCCCAGGCGTGAGCAGCCAGGCAGCAACCGGGCAAATGTGTGCAGTGCTGGGCATGTTACCCAGCCGGGTCGCTGCCACCTCTCCCCTGATTCTCGTGGCAACAGCCCAGGCAGGTAGGCAGGGTGGGGTTATCATCTCTTTCACAGATAAGGAAACAGTCTTCCCCACGTCCGTCACCAAGTGCAGGGGGGAAAAAGCAGGGTGTCAAGCCAGATCTAACCTCCAGCCCAGAACTGGTGATGCATGAAAAGCAGGGCAGATGGCACCAGGATCTAAAATAAGGAGGGAAAAACACCTCCATTATGTAACAGAAGACTCTTCAAGCCCGTGCACAGTGACAACCATAGAGCATTGCCACACAAGCCAGCTCCTCCGTCCCTTCCTCCTTTGGGCTCTGAGCGCCACTCTATAAGACAGAATGTGCTGGGGAGCCCACCAGCATCCCTCGGGCAGGAGATCTGCCATGGCTGGGCTAACACTGCCCCGGGAGGGGCACCTCTAGGGCTTGCTCCAGGAATGCCAATGCCGGAGCCCAGACTTGGGCACAGGTTCTGGAGCTGCCCTCAAAGGGCTTGAGGGTTCTGTGAGCAGGGAGCTTGGGAAATACAGGGATTGTTTCTGCCCAAAGAGATGGAACAAGAAAGCTGTGGGGCCCTGGTGCTCTGGGGGATACAAAACAGACAATCCAGACCAGTTAAGGCCTTTCTGGTACCTGCTGGCACTAAGGAAGGTGACTTGTGAGTGGCGGCTTCAGAGGCACAGGGTGAGCAGCTGTTGGGCCTGGGACCAGGGCCAGGGAGCAAGGCTAAGAGAGGCTGCCAGGACCCCCACACCCCAGAGAAGGAAAGGAGGACTTAGCCATCAACACTCCTGACTCCTAGCCTCCTGGACAAGGGGCCTGCTAGTCAGGGCTTGAACCCCTCCAATGACAGGGAGCTCATTACTTCCTAAGAGGGCATTTCCTTGGTTTGGGAAAATGTATCCAGAGACAAAGCTGAAATCTACCACCTCTAACTTAACTATTTTCCACCTGGCTATGACCCAGACTTGCCCAGAGCAATTTAACTCTTCTCAAATAGGCTTCTGGATATTTGGAAATGGCCAAGTCAGGATCAAGAGCTCAGGTCCCTCATTTGACAAGATTTCCATACTCCTCCCTGTTTGAACAGAGATTCCAGCTGTGATCATCCCATTGTCCCCCATTCTTGATGACACACACCAGGCTGATGCCACCGGAGTTCCGCACCGGCCGCTCACGCAGCCAAGAGCACCGAGACAGGTTTCATACCCCTGGTGAGATGCTACCACTCCTCATGAGTGCATTCACGACACCTCTCGTCTGATCCTCAGAAGCAGCTTATGAGTCAGGCAGGACAGCTATGTCCATTTTACAGATGACAGAGCCAGAACATGGGAGAGCCAAGACGAGACCGAGGCCTCCGGGCTCCCATCCCCAGAGCTCCTTCCTCTATCCCCAGGCTGCCCTGGTCTCCCCGTCAGGGCCTTAGCGTGGGTGGGTTCGGCAAAGTCGGAGTCTGGTGCGTAGCAGTGAGGAATGCTGGGCGGGGAGGAAAGGCCAGCTTCCTCCCAGTCCACAGTGGTGCAGAGAGCAGCACGGAGAGGGAGGTGCAGGCTTTCCTGAACCGCTGCTTTGTGGCTGCGGCGTCTGTGGAATCTCCCAGTGGCCTGAGGGTGGAGGGGGCAGGGGCACGCAGCATCCCCAGGGCTGTGGCTGGGGACCACCCTGGCCTGGGCATCCACAGAGGCGTGTCAGAGAGAGAGTGGGAACAGGGACCGACCTCAGGAGACTCTGGGTCCCAGAAACAGTGTCTGCTCTCTTAAGTGAGACTTGATTACGCTATAAAATGCGAGGTTACTCCCACTTATCAAATTATAGATGAGCTTAATTACAGCTCTCGGAGTAACCACACTGGGCTCCTTCAGAAATAGCAGCAGGCTGGCTGTTCTTCTCGGCTCCAGCTACCCGTTCCGGGAGGAACTGCCCGCTGCGCCCGGAGTGCTGCTAAACCACGACAGCGACAGCGGGCGCCCGGGCTGCACGGGGCACTCTCCTGTACCGGCCACCACCCTGCCCGGGCCGCTCGCAGCCAGGGAGCACTCTGTCCTGTGACTGGTGGTTTACTCTGTTGGAACCTCTCCTTCCTACTGACACTGTGTTCTGGACAAAGGTGTTGGCTCATACTGTCTGACCAGAGGTGTACAAAACGGTGCGGGTCCTGCCACAGGAAACAAAGCGAGCACGGTGCAGGGTGAGAAAACACAGGCTTCGTGGAGACTTAGGGCACCTTCAAGGAAACAGGGTAAAGAGCAGCAGGCCACTGGGACGGGTGAAAGTTCTGTGACATCAGGACGGGCATCCTAACTTCA